ATTGACGATAGCTGAAAAGTCTTAGACCAGAGCAGAGAAGGATGTCTGAATCCTCACAGGACTCTTTCCAAAGAAACTCTATCAAGTAATTACTATCTCTCATCTTGATTTTACCTACATCACATTTCACCTGATCTTTTAATTAAGTTTTCAAAAAGCAAGATTTAATTGAAACATCAATTATGGTAAAACCTAGCTACATATAATTGAATTTTCACTCGAAAGTAAAAATTATTTTATTTACATTTTAAAACATTTTTGGCCTACTTACTCTTTCTTATTTCCCAAAAGAAAAGGTAGGGACTGCTGACAATACTGCAGAAGAGCAACATCAGAAAACAGAATTAATTACCCACTGGGGAAGAATCATTAAACTGAGCACCAATAAAGTAACTTTGAGTAGGAATGGAACCAGTTGTGATAGCTTCTAATAAAGCACTAGGCACTTATAATGAAGCATGAAACAGCTCATAGGTGACTGGATCTCTGAATTAGTCACTACCAACTCCTACCTGCCCAGTTAGTATTATTTATACTTGCATAAAAAAAGGAAATAATAAAAACACAGTATTTTCCCCATAAAATTTTACTATCCATTGCAAAGCACACATGTTGATGACAGGCTTTTGTCAATGAGACTGGGAAGAAGACACTACTCTAGCAGAATGCTACTCTTCCTGTTACCAAAGATCACCTCCTTAATAACAGAATCCTCACCCCTAATACCTGTACCTACTACAAAAATATAACAGCTAGAAAAGCTCCTCATGGACTGTGCTTCCAATACAGTGTGTGCTTTCAATACTTTAAATGTCTACTGCTCATCATCTTGATGATACCTTTCAAATACTGTCAAGTTCACATTCACCTGCTCATTCTGAGTTTACACTGTTTTCCTTTCTTAGTTTAAAGGGCTTTTTAACTGCTAATAAGTACAATATATACAAAAACTTGAGCAGTGTTTCAATATACGATATTAAAAAACTCAAGCTTAGGAATGATTTACCAAAAGCATTTAGTGGCAGTCCTTTAATGACTCTTGTGCCATTTGCTCATAAGGCACAGAATAGGCTTCTGGGAGAAACTGAAAAACAAGCATGGTCAGTGATACAGCATGCCAGAGTACATTCTGGAAGTTAAGTCTACATTACTTTACTGAGATACATTTTAGAATGCTTTTTAGAGGTGGCCTGATTTTTGGCAATCTTTTTCTTCTCAATGACAAGTATATGCCAATTTGTATATATGTACCTATGAATGCACAGTTTGCACTTCCAGTCAAGTAGAATTGCCTACAGTTACAACATCATGTAATAATTAAATCATAAAATTTAAAATTCATTTTTTTATAAATAATTTACCTGCATTTCACTAAGACTGAATGTCAGACAGTACTGAGACCAGACTTCTCTGAGAAGTACCACCAACAGTATTGCCTGTCTACAGGCCAAATACACACCAAGGAGGGACAGAGAAGAGATTTGACTATAGAGGAAATTACCTGTGAAACTGAAAATCACACTATAATGTCCATTAACAGAAATTGCAGTGTTGAACAGGTTATGACTGATAGAAAAAAATATTACTATTTGTTTTTTAAATAAGTCCAAGAATACTTTTGGGAATGCAAACATCCACCTTACAGAAAGAGAAATGGAGGCATAAGGCACCACAGTCACTTGATGATCCAAATGCCAGAAAGCAACAAATCCAAGAATTACAGATTAGTCTTACATTTATTCAGCAAAAGACTGCATCAGACTCTTGGGGACTCATTGTACAAGTCATGTTTTTCAACAGCACAAGAGACATTTTCTTATTTGTAGGTTCACAGAAAGGTTTTGGCTGGAGAAGACCTTAAAGATTATCTAATTCCAACTGGCCCATCACAGGATGGGCAGGGACACTGTCCACTAGACCAAGTTACTCAAATCCCCTTCCAGGGTGAATCCACAATTTCTCTGGGCAATCTGTTCCAATGCCTGAGCACCCTCACTGCAGTACTTCAGGTGAGTGGCAAAGTGAAACAACCACATGCATATATTTAACTTATTCTAACATAAGACTGTAATTCAGGCTTATACATTACACAAAAAACTTCATTTTATGGCAAGATGAGTTTGAGGCTTTGTGTCTGTTGCTCTTTGTATCAGCCTATCTTTTTTTTTTCCCTTGCAATAGCATTCTAGCTATGATTGCTTCTACAGCACCCAAGTAAACGGAATGGGCTCCAAGTTGTAGAACAGGTAACCTCATCCGGTACATGCAAAGGCAAAATTTACTGTGACTTAGAAAACCGATGGCTACAGGCCCTGTAACAAGACAAATTTCAAGAGTACAAAACACACAGAGCAAGGGTGAAAGTGAAATGTAGCAGACCAGACACTTCTTGGCATATTACTGCTTCAGGGATGTATGTACTTTAGTGGTTGATAATGCTGACAAATAGAAATACAAACCAAAGAACACTCAGAACAACTGTGAAAAAGAGACAGAGTAAAGCAAACACTTCTCAATCTATTATTGCTTTAGGGATACATGTATTTTAGTGCTGATAATGCAGGACAAATAGAAATCCAATGAAAGAGCCATACATTGCTTCTGGATGATTCAGCTACATTGGGAACATATTTGTGTGAGACTGAAGAGCACACACACACGCATGCACAACAAGTTGAATCATTTGCTTCAAGCAAGAAACAGAGCATTGCTGTAAGCAAAATACCACAGAAGATGAAAAGCAAGATGAATAGCACTTTCACACGTAGTATTTATTTGTTATATTCAAACATCAGTTTAAAAGTCTTAGAAACTTCCCTAGAAAATCTGCCTAAAGCTATACTTTTCAGTTGTAGCTCAGTATGACATGCACACCTATCTTACAGACCTGATTTTTATATGAATCTACAATTACTTGAATAGATTAGTATCTCCTGTAAAGTGCTGTAATAATTTGTAGTTTATCAAGATCAGGAGATAAAGAAATCAATTTTGCTGGGAGTATGCCAAGTCAAGCCTCTTGAAGTTCTTCCTCTTGCTCCCTGCCACAGCACAGATGAAACTAGTTATCTTGTGCAGGTGTTAAAACATACAAATCCATATTATCTAAGTGAAGAAACACATCCCTATTTGAAAAAAATTTAATAAAAAATAAAGGACTGAGACAAGAACTATATATCCACACTTGATAAAAAAAAATCTTAAAATAAGCAGAAAGAATGGCCCCATACCCCAAAGCCATATCTTCATATTCATTCTTCATATCTTCTCCTGTCCTCCAGAGCACAGTTGCAAAATCTATTTCAAATACACTAATCCCAAAAATCTGTACGCTTGGTTTACAGTATCCTCTTGCATAACCATCTTCAAATAGTGCTTCTTTAGCACTCACACTTCCAGTTCTTCATCTGTGCACCAGTGCAAGGACTGATTTCCCTACATCCCAGTCCAAATGAAATTCCCTGGAGAAATTTGGGGGTAAAAAGCTATTGCAGCTAGAAGAACTGAAAAACTGACTAGTTTGACTGCATCATAGTTCATAGGAAGTCCCCATCACACTTAACACATAAGCACAGTTCCATTCCGTGTATCCCACAGAGTCTCCAGGAAGAAAAGCAGAATGAACACCAAAGCTTGAGACAGCAGGCTAACAGGCAGCCCAGGCTCACCCTCATCCAACCAGCACAGTGCCATAGAGACTGATGCCTCAACAGCCCATCTGAAACAGTCACACACAAATCCATACTCTGGGGTCAAAGATACAAGGGAGTATATAACCATCAGCAGAGGCTCTCTTAAGTCAGCCAGAAACATGTTAAGATTCTACACAAGGAACACCAGAAAACATGTACACAGTCCCTTAGAAGTTTCACCGCTATGGAGAATTATCTTCTGAACAGATTAAACACAATTGTTCTAAACAGGTGACTCATCTTGCTAAAGATCCAACTGGTATTACAGACACAGGACTGCTGGTCTTGAGCTATGAGGAGAAGCCTTCTCTGCAGTCCTGTGTAACAAGCTTGGAGTACTGTTTCCTCCTGGGCAAGGAAAAACTCCACATCTAAGAGGCTAATGATGAATAGCTCAGATAGTACATGGGTGTCAGGCAAAGCAATTAACTTTGAATCAGGGAGAGGTCTGTAGACTGATAAAACAGACAGTTTTTGAATAAAGGGAATGAGTAGGTGGGGACAGAGTAGGCACAATCAAAGCAAAAACACAAACACAAACAGTAGTATGTCTTCTTATCTTAAAGTCCCCATCAGAGACACAACAGAAACAACAAAGCATGACCTAAAAAATATGCCATGAAACTCCAGCTTTTTCGGAAGGACACAGGCTGTTGAACATGATAATATTTTGTGCACCCCAGCTAGAAAACCTGCAGACTGGGATCAGGAGCAGAGTGAAGCCCTAAACCTGCAGGATGGCAAGATGCACAGAGGAAATCACACAGACCACCCAGACACAAACAAATATTGTGCCCTACACAATGTTAGATTTCACGAGAAATAGTATCTTCTCATCCAAATTGTCAAAGAATTTAGTAAAGTAAAATTCCCACTCAGTAAAAGGGAAGTTAACATTATTTGTGTAATGCTCTACTCAGTGTGTGCCCACGTTTCTGCTAAATGCGCAGATGATTTTTTCCAACACACCAGTCAATCATTACAAGAGAAAGGATCTGTGCTTTCTCTTCCTACCCAAGAACAACACACAGCACAAAACCAGACACAAGTACTAGCTCAAAATATTGTCACAGTGATCGAATTTTTGGGCTAAAACACCATTAATGCCTGTGTGCAACATTTAGCCTTATCCACCTCTATTTTCAGCATCCTAAAATTGCCCAGGTGGCTTTGGATTTCATTTGTACCAAGCTGTTCCAATGTGAATTGGACTGGTGAGGTCAGCAGCACCTATGATTAATGCAGGAGCAGGGAGTCTACCAGGCAAAAGACTTTGCTGAACTCCATAGTGAATAAAACCAGACTTACCTTTTCCCCTCAGGCAGATTCCCCATTCCTGTGCTGACATAGCTACTACTGACCTCAACAGTCCAATAATCAAGGACCTGTGAACAAACAAAAAAGGTCACTTGTATGCAAACACCTGCTGAAGTGCATGCTTAAAATACACACTGCTTTGGACTTAGCCACTATTTCCTCCATGCTCAGTAGTTCATCCATTACCACACTGACTTCCTCAGATGTTAGACTCTCCACACTCTCCATCAGAGCTCCAGCCAACAATCCTAAAAAAATTAGCTAACCAAATCAGAGAGCAAGTACTCAGTGGAGGGTCCCTATGATTTTTATCTCCTTAACCTCATAAACAAAACTTCCTAGGTAGGCAGCTACAAGCAGAAAAGGAAGTTCTAAATAACAGGTAGAGCAGGTCTTCATACAACAAGGAACAGCAAATAAAGCACACTGACCTGAACCTTAAACATACAAGAAATGCCATAAGAATGGGTATTTCTTTCCTACTATCACCTGTTGAACAAGTAGAACCCAAAGGAATACTAACTCCGATTCGAGTCCTCTGACTTTGGGATTCTTGTATACCATCCTCCACCTGCTATACAAGAATTTAGGCTCCCAGCTCTCCCTGATCCTACCTGCACTCCAGTTAGATGTTCAAAAAGGCAGTAAAAATATTCCCTGTCTCCAACACCTCATATAGGCTCTGTGCTTATCTTTATAGATTGCTGAATTTGCTCCAGCCTTCTTGTCATGGCTTTCAGCATAATTTATTTAGTTACCTACACTTTTTCTATAAAAATCTCCTAAGTACTTTATTAAGTATATTTATTAGCTTAAGTGGTTTTGCTTCTGAAATTCTTTAGGGACCTTTAAGATAGTAGCTTTTTTTCCTTTCATAACTCCTGATAATTTTTACAATTGAAATATTGCCCATTTTTACAGCTGGAATGTGAAACCTATGCTACAACAGCAAGAGTAAAAATTGCAACATGCTCAGAATGTAGTTGTCTTCAGCACCAGGATCATCTACCTCTTCCTTAAAGAAATTATTGAATCCTGACTGCCTATTCATTTATGTGAGGTAATGATAGAGTAAATCAACAACTGTTTTTTCCAGGTTAAGTACTGCAAGTTCTTCCAAGAACAGAGCTGTAAAACCAAATGGGTCATTTTTCATAATATTAGTTAAAAACTCCACAGAATCACATATAACTACCAAGTATTGTAGTACCATTACAGGCTTTGAACAAGAATCAATAGTAATTTAAGGGAAGACATCAGAGGGATGCAAACAGGAGCTGCCCATTTCCACCAGCTGGTCTGGTGTTCTTTTGGAGGTTAAACTGCACCACAAGGCATGAGAACAGGATGGCACCAGTGCTCCTCCTCCATGCCTGCTCCTCTAGGCACAGCAGCTCTGCTCTGGTACTGCACTAGGCAAAAGGAGGAGTACTTCTAGATCTGCTCATCTCCTGCCCTTGGAAATGAGAGAGATGCAAAAGCAGAATCTGATGGACTGCAGAAGACAGCTCAGTGAAGGGCATGAATCAAGGCAATTGCTAGTTTTCAAACACTAACTTTTCTATTAGAATAAATGCAAATGATGACTTATGAACAATGGTACTGCTCTGACAGCAACATATCAGTCCTAACAACATGAAGTTATTTAATGACACTAAAGTCACCTTCATGTTCTTATAACTCTCAACTTGAAAGAAAGAAGACAGACAATCAGACAAGAACAACCCAATGCAAAATTTCAACATCCACTCATTTATTAGGAGTGTTGTCAGTTTAAAGTTCAAATTATTGGTGCCTTCAAGTAGGCCTAAGTTCAAAGCTCTTCTCTGGTGAACCAGGAGTAGGAGCACTAAAAATACGAAAACATATCTAGAGAACTATCCAGTTTTATTAAGAAGTGGAGATTTGTCAAGTCTGTGGGGTTCTTGCATCGAGCAAGTATTTAAGAGAAGGAAGAGAGAAGGGAGAGAATTTCTCATGAGCAAACAGAAATTAATGCCAGCAATCAATTCAGTAGATGTTTCTCAGAGCAGTGCTCACCAGAATACATTCCCTATTTACAAGGCCATATACCCCACAACATGAGCAATACAACCTGGGTAACCCCAGGCAGGTTCTTCTGCTCACATTAAAACCACAATTACTGGTTTTGCTTCCCTTGCAAGGGAAGTAACAGTGGAGAAAACCATGTACATGAGGCTCCTAAACAAATGAAAAGGGAAACAAAAGGGTTGCTACATCTTGTTTCTGCAGGTTAGCCTGCAGAAACTTCCACTTCTGGGAGAAGAATTGAAAACTTTTGCCGTAGGGCTCCCAGTTACGGTACAAGTTTCTAGAACTATTTAATTTTCTCTAGGCTGTGAAAATATGGGTGACATCGAGGTGACTGCAAATTTAGCTACATATTTTTGTTTACCATAGCAGGTTCTCCAGCATTTCTGGCATCTCCCGGTTTTGTATCTATCATCTGGAGATTGACAACCACTTCACTCCTGCCTCAGAGACAACTGAGCATGCAGCTGTATGTGCTTGGCTGGCTGTTCACTAGATTAGAGAGCTCCTCAAAACTACCACTTCAGATGAGACTTGTGGAACTCAGACCTTCCCAAATACACAGTGTTGAAAAGAGAACAGAAAGTTCTAGAATTGAGGCCTGAAGCAATTGCCTCAGGCCTTCAGGGAGAAGAAAGGGAATCCTTACTTTTCCCTGAAGGCTGTTCAGCCTTGCAGTGTCTGACAGCCCATGTGCTGAAAGCGGTTCTTCACACTGCCTGGGAAGTTTTTTTGCCTGGAAGTTGTCTTGTCACTCAGGAGTAGAACATGCTTATTGTTGTAGAACACTCACAAAGGATGAGCCCCAAGGTCAGTGCCAGGTGGTCCTGAAAAACATCAGCTCTAATGAGAACCAAGGAGCCTTTCAGGCTAGCCACAGAGGACAAACCTCCTCCAGAGAGCTGCTCCCTCTGCTCCCTGCTGCTGAATTACACTGGAAAAATCAAGGGGGGGGTGCAAGAAAAGTTCAGGCAGAGAAGCTGGGTTGACAGCTCCTGAATACACACAACTAAAAACCCATCCAGAGATGGGGGGAAAAGTCCCTGAGTGACAACTAAAGGACAAGCCCAAGGTAAAGGAAAAAAGTTGCATTTATCAATAAACATACACCTTGTTTTGTTTTTTTTTAAATTTACACAACTGCTTCAGTGTCTGAGCTCACTAGCACACAGCCACATGAAATGATGGCAGAACTCCAAAGAAAGTCAACCCAGCTGCAATCCCTAGGGCACACGAGGACTTCAAACAAGAATCTGTGGTTCAAAAGGGAGGAACATAAAAAGAAGTCTGTCCCCAACTGCAGATGAGGCAGGCAGTCTTAACTGTTCAGCTGAATAAGAGACCAAACCTAGGGGGAAGTGGGAACTCACTGGCTAACCCCATGGCTGAAAAAGCATGTTGTGGCCCATCCAAACCCAGCTAGATGGCAGCGGTGGGCTCTGGGGTCCAGTGTGGCATTTCATCCACGCCAGCAGCATGTCTGCAAGGGACTTGTGAAGGAAGGAGGGACAGACTGTCTGACCTAAGAAACCTAAGTGAAATCACCCTGGATATAAACAGCCAAAATAAGAAAGCACCTATGAAAATATCCCCTTCAGGACATGCATTTGCTTTGAATAAATCCTTTACGAAACCAGTCTAAATCTGACAACAAATCAGAAGAAGATCAGAAATCGAAAGAACAGGAATGTGTGCTTTTAAACCTTTATTTCCACAACTATCACATGCAAAATATATTTTAGAAGAGTTTGCACACGAGTTGCATCAAAAGACTTACAGAGTTTAGCTAAAGTAATCAGATGGCTCCAGACTTATCCAGAGCCATATTACACAAGATATTTACAAAAGAATTAACAACTGCTTCTCTTCATACTTGTTCACAGGCATAACCATTGCCAAAAAAAGCCCAAAGGTGGAACTCTGCTCTCTTGATTTTCATCAATCACTGGTTTCAGGCTTCCAGCAGTTCAATGCAGACCCAAGCTCTTCACAAGCTCCACAACAGAAATACTAATTGTACAGGTTAGATGTGAAAGCCCACCAATGAAGACCAATAAAACAATTTTGCAAACAAAGCTATCCATCAGGCCCATTATACCTCTGTGGTGCCAGCATGCTGCATGGCAACAGTTGCTCACTTTGAGTCCAACCACCTTAAGTGGAAATTACCAAATTTCAGGACTTCTGTAGGACTTGCAACCCAAAAGCTTATCATATCTGAAAGTAATAATCCCTAAGATTCCTAAATTACTACTTTTGAAAGAAATACTGTATTTTAAAATAGGATATATTCTATTAATCACCACTTAAAAGCATACATCTGCTATAATTAATCTTGAAGTCTACTGATAATAAGATAAGGAAAAATATAGCTAAAAAGAACTCTTCTCTTCAGCACATCCTTTCAGTGATTCACTTTTTTCATTGCTTCTCAGGATACAATTGGCAAAATACAGACTATTACACACAGAACAAAAATTAAGTGCAAGTTCTGACAGTGCACAGCACGAGACAGCAGCCAGCACCTTGAATCTGCCGCTTGGACTGTCCTCAGATATCCTCCCCTGTCCCTCTGCTGACAGGACTGGTGCAAACTTCAGCCAAACAAGTGACTCAGACCCAGAAGTCCCACCTGAATGATTTGCTGTCTCTAACATAACAGTAAATGGATGTCACTGATCTCCTGTTCCTGTAGCAAACAAAGCATTTTGAAAATAAGCCCACCTACAGTGCCTACATGACTTTTTCAAGGTAAGGAAATACCTGTGTTTAACACTGCAAGCTTCCATCAAGTTGCCTTTTATCAGGAGTAAAAAGACCATAATTTCAATTTTATGTCACCTATGAAATGGATGCTTTCTATTTTTTCCAAAATAAACAAAGATACTTATAATCCAACAGGGATTATGTTTTAATAGAACTGTTTGACCAAGTACAAGGAAAATTATTTTAGAAAAATTCCCATGTTTTAAAAACAGGAAAATATTTCTAGGTTTATGAACTATGGGAATTAATTTCTTTCTGAAGTTAAATAAAAACAATAGCAAGAAGGTCAAAACACCTCCCTTATGCCTTTAAAAAGTGTCCAGAAGAACAAAAATAAAAAAATTCTCTTAGATACAACTCTATGTACTTTATATTTTATCCTGAAATGGTCACTAAATATAAGGTAGCAACATTCATGTGCAAATTGCTGATTTTTGTATTATACCATCAGACAAAACAATAAGGGAGTCAGTGCTTGTTGACATGACAGTGAACTGAGCTGTGTATCCTGTCCAAGGCACACAAAATTAGAGGACTTGAAAAGATAGTTTTTCATCTTAAAGTAATCCTGGTATCCTGAAAGATTTCAGCTCCACTCAGAAGCTAATGTATCCTTCCAGATGTTTTTGCACAAGAATAGAAAAAGCTCTTAAAATACAGAGATTCAATCCTGAGCACACATATTAATGTCAGTAGCTTTAGATCCTAGAAGCTTGCGTGACCATCTCTGGGCAGTGACAGCACAACAGTCAATTGCAACAATCCAGAAATTTGTCTCTCCAACCCCCTCCATCCCTCTACTGCCAGCTTATACCAACAAACCACTGTCTCCAGAGGTAAAAATAGCCTATGAACCTCTGGAGTGAAAATTACAAGCATCTGTCAGAAGCAACACAGCATATTTGGGGGTTGAGGGTGACTAAAATGTACCAAGGTGTAAACTCCTTTAAAAAAGGTGGTTGACACTCAGTTATAAAAACAACTGAAGCTTCAGAGCTTCCCATATTGAGCTGTTGAGGTTGGATAAGAATATTAATCTGGTTTTTCAAGATAAAAATACACGGGAAAATACCTGAAAAAACTCAGTTGTATTAAAAAAAAAAAAAAAAAATTATAATAACCAGCACACATATCCTCATCTTTCATAGGCAACGTGTTATACTGGTTATTTTCTAGTATTTCCACAGCATATCTAGTAGTCCAGATTATATGGCAGACCTTTATTTAACCACTTCAAATATCACACAGTTTGTACTACATTATGCAAGTCCTTTGGATAAATTTGGTTATTTTTGTCATTTGGTATTGAACTATACTGTCAATAGAAGCCAACTCCACCAGGGGAGCCACAACCATATGCCAGAGCTTTTCACTCCTGCCTAACTCTGTGTACAATCTTGTTTCCTCTGCTCAGAAAATGACCTACATATGTAGTCAGACGATGCTACCAGGAGCACTACATATGTCAGATTCAAATATAGCCTTTAAAAAAAAATACTACAGACATTTTGAGCACAAACCAAGCAATGAGCAGTAAGCTTACATTGTGAAGATACTGCATGTACTAATGTCAAGGAGAAGATAAGGCACCTAACCTGGCAGGTCCCCATTGCACTGCAGACTCAGTAACATGCACATATTGTAATCCTATGTAACTCTGCTTTCATGACAACTTGGGCAATGTGTACATTAAGTAATGCCTAAGCCACACATTCAGCAAGCAAACAAAACCCTGAAAAGCTTATCATTAATTGAGCATCATTTATTCTGCATGCAAAACAAGACAGGAGTATCTAATTATCCAGCTAAAGACTGTACATCTAGAGATCAGCTATGGAGGAGTAAGCTTAATGCTGTCACTTCCTGGGCTCTGCCCAAACTGCTTTCCTTCTACAGGTGGTATGTAACTGCTATTGAAAAAGTAACCTGAACACCTCACTACCTGAAGCACCATGCCAACACCAGCTGTAAACTTAAAATCTTCAGCATCCCCAGATGACAGAAGGATAATATATTCCCATCGCAGAGAGGTGAGCTGTTGGCAAACCACGGCCAATGGGTTTAGGCAAATTAGGACGTTGGACTGATTACAGCATTAAAAAAAAGTGATTTTGCAAACATGGCTGTTTATTATTATCCTTTCTAGTCTCTGCTGTGTTTAGTCCCAGTGATTAATCTTCTCGCTCTTTGCCTTCCTTCTCAAGACAGGAGGTTTTCAGCAGAAATTACTCTCATCTCCAGTCATGCCTGGTTCTTGCTTTTAGTGTTTCAGTTCTGGCCTGACCTCAGGCTTTGGGGCAGACTAAACACGAGCCAAATGGAGGACCCAGCTTTCCTGTCAAACAAACAAACTACAGCAGCCAACATAAGACAACAGGAGGAGGCCTTCACCATTATCAGATGCCAAAAGTCCAAACATCCTTTGTACCAATGACTTTTTTACCTAGCAACGCTCACGCTAAGTATTACCAAGCACATGCAATCCAACTGAAATTCCCAAATGTTTGGATTTTGCCCCCATTTGCTGTAATGAATATCATCTGCCCACGTGTTGCATTCCTGGCATTTGGCTCAGATAAATTCCTAAAGAGTCCAGGACACCAGAATTGCTTGGAAATGGTCAGGTG